GCCGAATTGGTGTGCGTGACGCATGCGGGCGGCAGCACTGGGGCCTTCGGCGGAGCTCCCTATGGGGCCACGAAACGTGTGAGGGGTGTGCCGAATTGGGTGTGGGTGACGCATGCGGGAGGCAGCATTGGGGCCTTCGGCTGAGCTCCTATGGGGCCGCGAAGCGTGTGAGGGGGGTGCCGAATTGGGTGTGGGTGACGCATGCGGGCGGCAGCACTGGGGCCTTCGGCGGAGCTCCTATGGGGCCACGAAACGTGTGAGGGGTGTGCCGAATTGGGTGTGGGTGACGCATGCGGGCGGCAGCACTGGGGCCTTCGGCGGAGCTCCTATGGGGCCGCGAAACGCGTGAGGGGTGTGCCGAACTGGGTGTGGGTGACGCATGCGGGCTGCAGCGCTGGGGCCTTCGGCGGAGCTCCCTATGGGGCCACGAACGTGTGAGGGGTGTGCCGAATTGGGTGTGCGTGACGCATGCGGGCGGCAGCGCTGGGGCCTTCGGCGGAGCTCCCTATGGGGCCACGAAACGTGTGAGGGGTGTGCCGATTGGGTGTGGGGACGCATGCGGGCGGCAGCACTGGGGCCTTCGGCGGAGCTCCTATGGGGCCACGAAACGTGTGAGGGGTGTGCCGAATTGGGTGTGGGTGACGCATGCGGGCGGCAGCACTGGGGCCTTCGGCGGAGCTCCTATGGGGCCACGAAGCGTGTGAGGGGTGTGCCGAATTGGGTGTGGGTGACGCGTGCGGGCGGCAGCGCTGGGGCTTTCGGCGGAGCTCCTATGGGGCCGCGAAACGTGTGAAGGGTGTGCCGAATTGGGTGTGGGTGACGCATGCGGGAGGCAGCACTGGGGCCTTCGGCGGAGCTCCTTATGGGGCCACGAAGCGTGTGAGGGGTGTGCCGAATTGGGTGTGGGTGACGCATGCGGGCGGCAGCACTGGGGCCTTCGGCGGAGCTCCTATTGGGGCCGCGAAGCGTGTGCGGGGTGTGCCGAATTGGGTGTGGGTGACGCATACGGGCGGCAGCACTGGGGCCTTGTGGGGCCGTGGTGGAAGCGTGTTGGGGCCGTGGTGGAGGCGTGGCGGGAGGCAGGTGGGGGTGGTCCCGGACGAAATTTAGCAGGGTGGGTGGCCCCCAAACCCTAGGCTCAGAAGTTCCTGGAGGCTGGCGGTGTCAGACGTGGTGGGGGCGTGGTGGAGGCGTGGTGGGGCCGTGGTGCAGGCGTGGTGGAGGCAGGGAGGGGGGTTAAATTTGACAGGGTGGGTGGCCCCCAAGAAGCTAGGCTCAGAGGTTCCTGGAGGCTGGCGGTGTCAGACGTGGTGGAGGCGTGGTGGGGCCGTGGTGGAGGCGTGGTGGAGGCAGGGAGGGGGGGTCCTGGGTGGGCCCCCAAGAACCTAGGCTCAGAGGTTCCTGGAGACTGTCGGTGTCAGACGTGGTGAGGGCGTGGTGGAGGCGTGGTGGGGGCGTGGTGGAAGCGTGGTGGGGGCGTGGTGGAGGCCTGGTGAAGGCAGGGAAAGGGGGGTCCCGGACGAAATTTTGCAGGGTGGGTGGTCCCCAAGAAGCTAGGCTCAGTTGTTTCTGGAGGTTGGCGGCGTGCGACGTACGTGGTGGGGCCGTGGTGGAGGCGTGGTGGGGCCGTGGTGGAGGCGTGGTGGAGGCAGGGAGGGGGGAAATTTTGCAGGGTGGGTGGCCTCCAGGAATCTAGGCTCAGTTGTTCTTGGAGGCTGGCGGTGGCAGACGTGGTGGGGCCGTGGTGGAGGCGTAGTGGGGCCGTGGTGGAGGCGTGGTGGAGGCAGGGAGGGGGTGTCCCGGACGAAACTTTGCAAGAAAGAGGTTCCTGGAGGGTGGCGGTGTCAGACGTGGTGGGGGCGTGGTGGATGCGTGGTGGGGCCGTGGTGGAGGCGTGGTGGAGGCAGGAAAGATGGTCCAGGACGAAAGTGTGCCGGGTGCATGGTTCCGAAGAACCTGGGCTCAGAGGTTTCTGGAGGCTGGCGGTGTCAGACGTGGTGGGGGCGTGGTGGAGGCGTGGTGGGGCTGTGTGGGAGGCGTGGTGGAGGCAGGGAGAGGGGTCCCCGACGAAAGTGTGAGGGTGGGTGGTTCCGAAGAACCTGGGCTCAGAGGTTCCTGGAGGCTGGCGGTGTCAGACGTGGTGGGGGCGTGGTGGAGGCGTGGTGGGGCCGTGGTGGAGACGTGGTGGAGGCAGGGAGGGGGGATCCCGGACGAACTTTAGCAGGGTGTGTGGCCCCCAAGAAACTAGGCTCAGTTGTTCCTGGAGGCTGGCGGTGTCAGACGTGGTGGGCGTGGTGGAGGCGTGGTGGGGCTGTGGTGGAGGCGTGGTGGAGGCAGGGAAGGGGGACCCCGAGCGAAATTTTGCAGGGTGGGTGGCCCCCAAGAACGTAAGCTCAACGGTTCCTGGGGGCTGGCGGTGGCAGACGTGGTGGGGCCGTGGTGGAGGCATGGTGTGGCCGTGGTGGACGTGTGGTGGAGGCAGGGAGGGGGGGTCCAGGACGACATTTTGCAGGGTGGGTGGCCCCCAAGATTAGAGGTTGGTTCCTGGGGGCTGGCGGTGTCAGACGTGGAGGCGTGGTGGGGCCGTGGTGGAGGCGTGGTGGAGGCAGGGGGGGGGTCCCGGACGAAATTTTGCAAGAAAGAGGTTCCTGGAGGGTGGCGGTGTCAGACGTGGTGGGGGCGTGGTGGAGGCGTGGTGGGGCCGTGTAGGAGGCGTGGGGGAGGCAGGAAGGAGGGTCCAAGACGAACGTGTGCCGGGTGGGTGGTTCCGAAGAACCTGGGCTCAGAGGTTCCTGGAGGCTGGCGGTGTCAGATGTGGTGGGGGCGTGGTGGAGGCGTGGTGGGGCCATGGTGGAGACATGGTAGAAGCAAGAAGCTGGGCTCAGTTGTTCCTGGAGGCTGGCGGTGTCAGACGTGGTGGGCGTGGTGGAGGCGTGGTGGGGCTGTGGTGGAGACGTGGTGGAAGGGGGGTCCCGAACGAAATTTTGCAGGGTGGGTGGCCCCCAAGAACCTAAGCTCAAAGGTTCCTGGAGGCTGGCGGTGGCAGACGTGGTGGGGCCGTGGTGGAGGCGTGGTGGGGCCGTGGTGGAGGAGTGGTGGAGGCAGGGAGGGGGGGTCCAGGACGAAATTTTGCAGGGTGGGTGTCCCCCAAGAAGCTAGGCTCAGAGGTTCCTGGAGGCTGGCGGTGTCAGACGTGGAGGCGTGGTGGGGCCGTGGTGGAGGCGTGGGTGTCCCGGACGAAATTTTGCAAGAAAAAGGTTCCTGGAGGGTGGCGGTGTCCGACGTGGTGGGGGCGTGGTGGAGGCGTGGTGGGGCCGTGGTGGAGGCGTGGGGGAGGCAGGAAGGAGGGTCTAGGACGAAAGTGTGCCGGGTGGGTGTTTCCGAAGAATCTTGGCTCAGAGGTTCCTGGAGGCTGGCGGTGTCAGACGTGGTGGGAGCGTGGTGGAGGCGTGGTGGGGCTGTGGTGGAGACGTGGTGGAGGCAGGGAGGGGGGATCCCGGGACTCAGTATCTCATACCAGTGATCGTGGCATTGGGACTGGGCCCAACGGAGTTTACGATGGACCGTATGCCGGGGAGAGCGGACGCAGCGTGGTTTACGAGGGATCGCGTGGCCCTTGACATCTCTAGTAATAACTGGGCGCCACGATCCTAGGAGGTTCGAGTTGATCCGCGGCGCGTCCCTTGGCGCGTCTCTGGCCTGGGTCGCGTCTCGTGGACGTTTTCTGACGCGTCCCCTGGCACGTCCCTTGGCGCGTCGCCTGGCATGTTCCCTGTCGTGTTCCGTGGCGCGTCCCGTGGCGCGTGCCCCTGGCACGTCGCGCAGTGCGTCCTGTGGCACGTCCTGTGGCACGTCCCCTTTCACGTTCGGTAGCGCGTCCTCTTGGCATGGCCCGCGGTGCGTTCCCATGGCGCGTCCCCTGTCACGTCTCCTGGCGTGTCTCTTTGGATGTTCCGCGGCGCGTTTCCCTGGCGTATCCCGCGGCACGTCTCCCTGGCATGTCCATTGGCACGTCTCCTGGGGCACGTTCCTGGGCGGCACGACACGGCGCAGCGCAACACAGCACACAGCCCTTGACACAGGATCATCACCATCGATATTTTTAACGTTGCCATTGCCCATCGCCCAATCGATGTCCTTTGAAATCCTTACATGCCTCGCAGTTCTAAGTTCCTTCCGTGTTCGTGGGTCGATAATGTTTTTTGTTGTATGGTCGCATGCCCACATTCTTGCAGTCCCACGGGTTGACGTGTCCGTATATCCAAACGCTCGCACATTCCTGTGCCAACAATCTTGCACGCGCGCTTGCTTGCATGCCCGCGCGACAGCAAACTTACGACGATTGCACGTTTGCACGCCTGTAGGCTTGTGCGCTTTCGTTCCCATGTGCTTTCCGTCCGACACGCTCGCAGGCCTGCGTGTTCGTGCACTTGCGTATTTGCATTCTCGCCTGCTTGCATGCTTGCGTGCTCGGAAGGATGTGCGCATGCTTTGGTGCATGCTGAACCAAGCGTACTTGCGACCGCATGCGGGTTCCAGACCCGTTGGGATTTTGCACGTGTCCATTTGTACGTACCCAGTACGAGCTTTGCACGGATCTGTCACGCTTGACTCCTGGCGACTGTAATACTCTGCCACAGGTTGAGGATCAGGTTCTTCATCTGCAATTCCGTAGTGGTGAACACATTGGTATGCTTGGAGAATGGACGTTTCGAGATTTCAGAAGCGGTATCGTTGGATCCGTACTCGTTTTGCGTCGCGCCCCTAGTTTTTTTGTCCTGTTAGGCTTTCTCGTATTCTACTTCAACTTCAGTCTTCTTCACATGTGGAATACGTTCGTTTCATTAGCTATTCGCCTCGATCATGCTTTCCCGCCCCCTCCTCTGAAAGTGTATGTTTCGCGTGCTCAATCGATTGCCCTGGCTAGGGATTGAAGTGTTCGTGTGCCCGTCGCTCATGGCAGGCACCCATATGTGCCCAAATGTAATGGTTGTAAGGCAATGGGGGCAGTGCTCAGCGGGCAATGGTTCGGCAGCGCTCGAGGCCGCGCTGTGCTGGTTCGCACTGGACTCGATGCTCACAGGGTCACGCTTGCTAGTTCACATGTAGTCTATCTTGGTTACAGCTCACCCGGATGCTGGCTTAATCCTGTTCCTCTGTTTGTTTTCTCCTCTTCGTTTCTCTGCTTTCTCTTCCGGCTCCCCACCTTTGCTTCCTCCCAGTAGCTCTTCGTGCTTCCGTCCTAGCCTGACCAACTTTCGTTCCTTCTCCGTCCCCTCTTCCTCGCCCGGTTTTTGCCCCTCTGTTGTTACCGTCCTGGTCGTCCCCGTCCTCATCGACCACCTCGTTCTCTTTGTCGTCATCTTCGCCGTCCTCTTCGCCGGCCTCGTCGTCGGCCGTCGTCGTCGTCGTCGTCGTCGTCGTCGTCGTCGTCGCAGGCGTCCTGGTCGTTCTCGTCGCCACTGTCGTCCTCGTCGTCGCCGCCGTCCTCTCTCCTCGTCGTCGGAGTGCCAGGCCCCAAGCGCCTGAGGGCCTTCGCGGCGTCGCGGGCCGCGGGGCTGCAGCGGGCGCTCCAGTCGGAGGTCAGGCCGCCACGTGGGGCGGCGCGGGGGAAGCCGTCCGTGCCTTGAGTACGTTGGCGTCGTCGTTAACGTCAAAGTCAACGACGTCATCGTCGTCGTCGTCGTCGTCGTCGTCGTCGTCGTCGTCGTCGTTGGAGGGGCGGACGAGGGGAATGGGGAGGATGAGTGCGACGAGGAGCATTTTGAGAAGGAGGAAAAAGAGGAGGAGGAGGAGGAGGAGGAGGAGGAGGAGGAGGAGGAGGAGGAAGAGGAGGAGGAAGGTGAGGAGGAGGATGATGATGAGGAGGAGGAGGAAGAGGAAGAGGAGGATGCGGAGGAGTTGCAGAAGGAGCGGGAAGGGGAGGAGTAGCGGGATGATGAGGAGGCTAGGGGTGGAGGCATCGAGCTGATGGGGCGAATGACGTTGTTTTTTGGCTGAAGTCAGGCTTTGCAGGTGCATGTATTTTGGTGGGGCAGAAGCGCCAGTATTCAAAACATAACGTTTACGGTTAATGTGTGGGCTAAGGGTTCAGAGCGTGCAGCATCGGCCGTTCAGAGAATGCATGGCAGCTGTTCTGGCTTCAAGTGAGGCCCTCGAGGAGGGCATGCTTCCTGAGGGCTCCTCCGCGTGCCTCGCCGCCCTGCGGGCCCAGCGGCTCCGCTTTTGCGGCTGGTGCTCTGGGCGGCTCGCCCCGGGGGAGGGCCGCGCGTTGGCGGAGGCGGGCGCGCTGCTGGAGGTCTGCGAGCTCTGCTACCTCCTGGCGTTCGCGAGACAGGCGGCCCGCGAGGCGCGGCTGGCGCCGCGGGAAAGCGCTCCTGGTCGACCAGGTGCGCTTGCTGGCGGCCCAGCTCGGGGCGCTTTCGACGCTCGAGCCCGATGCCGCCGAAGGCCAAGGCCAAAGCCAAGGGCAAGGCGAAGGCTCAGGCCAAGCCTGCAGCGCACGCTCGGGGGCGAGGCCGCGGGAGCTGTCGGAGCTGGCGGCGGCGGCCGACGCGGCCGTGGAGGCGATGCTCTGCCTGGTGGGCCTGGCTCGGTCGCGGGCGCCGCAGGGGCCTTCCCGCCCGCCGCAGCAGGCGCCGCGGCGGCAGTTCCCGCGGGCGGCGCGGCTGGGGCGCCTGTGGTGCCTGGTGTCGGCGCCTTGCCTGGGCTCCCTGACGCCCTCGGCGGTGCTGGAGGCGGCGTGCCGCCCGCCCTGCCTGGGGGCCCTGGCGCAGCGGCTGCTGGAGGTGGCGGCGTTGGCGCGGCGTTGGTCGGCGCTCTGGCTGCAGGCGGCGCTGGCGGTGCAGGAGCTGCTGGGGCGCCCCCCGCCGCGGGCCCCGCAGGTGCGGGTGCCGCCCTCGGGGTGCTTGGAGGCGCGGTGGTGCCAGCGGCAGGCGTGCAGTTCGGCGCCTTGGTGGACGGCGCTTGGACGCAGGCCTCGACCTTGGTGGGAGCGAGCTGGACCAAGGGGCTGACGCTCGAGGTCCCTACCCACGACCCCGCAAGGGTCATCAGCGGCACCGCGCTGTTCGAGGTGGACGGGGTCGGGTTGCCTGGCGCGGGGGGGCAGTATCTTAGCGCCCAGTTCAGGGTCGCTGCCTGCGGAGGCGATGCGCTTGGACGGCGCCTTCCCCGCGCGCGGTGCAGGGCCTTCAGGGCTGCTGCACCTGTGCGCGCAGGGGCCCACGCGCGGTGGGGGCCTGCTCAAGCTGGACGCGCTGTGCTGCACGTGGAGTGGCTGCGGCTTCGCTCGGCGCGCGGGCTGGTGGAGCTCCAGGTTCTCCTCGGCGCCTTCGGCGGATGCGGCGGCGGCGGCGGTCGCTGCGCGCCAGGTCCCTTGCCTGGAGGTGCGGCTGCGGATCGCCTTGCTGCAGCTGCCGCGGCCCGCGCCGAAGGAGGAGGAGGAGGAGGAGGAGGAGGAGGAGGAGGAGGAGGAGGAGGAGGAGGAGGAGGAGGAGGAGGCGCCGCTCCTCGCGCGCTCGGAGGCCGCGGCAGACGCCGCCAGCGGAGCGAGTCGGCCAGTCGCAGTGATGGCGATGGGGGGTCGTTTTTTGGCGATACCACCTCCCGCGGCGGCAGTGCGAGGCTGCTGGCGGAGAGGTCACCCGGCGCCCTCTACGACGAAGCGATGCAGAGCATCGCACGCGTGATGGGCCTGCGGGAGGGGGCGGACGGCAGGGAGACACGTCCGAAGGTAGTCGGGTAATTGCAGGCGGTCGTCTTCGGTTACCGTCCCGTGTCGCAGTTGCGGGCCAACGCGGTGCGGGAGCTGCAGACGCTCGCGACGGCGCTGGGTCAGCTGGAGTCCGTGTCCTTGGCGCAGGTGTGCGACGTGCTGATGCAGTGGTTCAAGGCTCTGGAGCTTTCGCTGTCGGGCGCGAGCTGGCAGGTTGCGAGCGAGTTGGAGACCGTGCCCGACGCGAGGCCGTCGCTAGCATCCATGGGCGAGCAGGACTTGGCGCGGCGCTCGGCAGTGCTGCGCAGGCGCTTGCAGGAGGCAAAGAGCCGCGGGGCCTTCAGCAGCGCCGCCCGCGGCGAGGCGAGGGGCTGACACGAGGAGGGGGCGCGGGAGGGCTCGAGACCGCGCTCGCCCTCCCCTCGTGCGCCCCAGGTTGCGAGGGGCCGCGCGCGGTCGAGGGGCAGGGCGCGGCCGCGGGAAGGGCCGCTACCTCCCCCTGCGCGCGGTCAGCCCCGTTCTCGCTCCAGGGGCTCTGACGGAGGGGGCCGCAGCGCCCTCCGGCGGCCCCGCGCGCCCCCCTTCGCCGCGCGGCGAGCGGGCCCCGCGCGGCGACAGCCCTCGCCCGAGGCGGGTCGTGCTGGCCCGCAGCCCCGAGCGCCGCAGCTTCAGGCCAGAGGAGCCGGCGGCCGCAGCGGGGGCGCCTCGGGGGGCAGGTCGCGGTCGCCCGCGGCGCCGCGGCGGCAGGGGGCGGAACGCGGGCGGGGTCAACGGTTCGCGACCCCGCCCCCCTGGAGGCGGTGCAGCTCGCGACGCTGCGGCTCTGCGATGAGGCCGGGTGATGATGGTGCACATGCTGGTGATGCTTGTGCGAACGCAGCCAGTTCTTTGCAGGCCGCCTCCTCGGGCAGAACGCCCTGGGCCTCTCCGTCGCGCGCGCCGCCCCCCCGCCGCGCCGCGCCGCTGCGGCCCCCTGCGCTCGCTGCTGCTGGAGATAGCTCAGCCCGGGCTGATCCACCTGCCGACTGGCGGGAGCTTGCGGGGGCCGCGGGCGATCTGCCGGGGTATTTTTTTGACGTGGGCCCTATCCTGCTTAAACTGTTCAGAGCCTTCCCAGGTTCTCTTGGCCGCTATGCTCGTGACCCCCTCGATGTGAAGCTACGCGAGCACATGGCCACCAAGGGAGGTCGGCTGCAGCGTGACCTGCTGCCGTTGCCGTGCCCTACCATCGCGAAGACCGACGTCGTGCGCGACGGCGGGGACGTCGGCGATGTGAACTGGGAGGCGCTCCGCTGCAGGCTGGTTTTTTTTGTGCTGGCGCTCAACTGGGTGGCGGGCTTCCGCTCGCTTAAGTTTGCGCGCTGCTGCCGTGGCCGTGCCAGCGCGGCCCAGCGTGCTGCCCTGGCTCGCATGGCGCGGCGGCTCTTCCTGGCCACGCGGATCGAGACCTGCCTGCCCGAGGATCTGAAGTGGGAGGACCGCCTGAAGGATAGGAAGATCGGTTGCGCAGGGTCTGAGATCACGACGCCCCACAAGCTCGCGCTGCAGCAGGTGCTTGACGGGTTGCCGCCGCCGGGGGTCGCCGCCTCGATCGAGGCCGCCGGCGTCGCGACGGGTTCCGTCCGCGATGCCCTGCTCCCCCTGTCGCTGGTGCTGCTGCCGCCTGGGCTGCGCCGCGCGGCCCCCGCTTCAGCGCGGGTTCGGACTGCTGTGGGCGAGTGGCATCGCAAGGCTTTGCACGCGCGGGGCATGATCGCCGCGATCCCAGCGAGTGAGATCGCTCGCCGCGACGGTGCTCCCCTGCTGGACGGCGCCTTAAGTGCCCCGAAGGCCCACGACGCTCCTGTCAAGAGCAGTGATGGAGAGCTGGGCCCCGTGCGTAGGCTCATCGCAAATCTGATCCCGTCGAACGCGTGTCAGGAGTGCATCGTGGGGGGCGCGCCCGAGATGCCGACGATGAGCCAGCTCAACGGTCTAGTGCTCATGGAATCCGAGGGCCTGCTGTGGAGCGGCGCCGACAGGAAGGCCTTCTTCTACGTCTTCCGCGCGCCGCCGCCGTGGTGGCCGAACATGGTGATCGGCCCCTCCGTCCCCTCGCGGCTGCTGGGCCTCGAGGATGGTGGCGCTACTCACATCTGCCTGTGCGTGATCGGGATCGGCTGGATCAGCGCGGTGGGGGTCACGACTCACCTTCACCGCAATATGCTGCTCTGAAGCAGTTCGGTGCCGCGCGGCCTTAGCCCCAGCCGCGAGATCGCGCGACGGCGCCGATTGCCGCTGGGCGTCGAGAAGCCGTGCCCACCTGCCTGGATGGTCTACATTGACAATCTGGAGATCGCGGAGATCGTCGACAAGTCCGAGGCGGAGAAGCTGCGCGGGACGGTGCCGGCGCTGCTGTCTGACGCGCGGGCTTGCTATGAAGCGGCTGGCTCGCCTGGGTCGCTGGGCAATGACCTTCGCCGCGTGGTGCGGGCCACGACCTTGGGTGAGCTAGTTGATGGAGCTGAAGGGGCGCGCCGCCCTCCTGCAGGATACCTCGCCGAGATGGCCAGCCTGACGTTGTGGGTCCTTGGCAAGAAGCGGGCCAGCATGCGGTTGATGCGCATCCTCCTTGGCCGATGGGTGCGAGTGCATTGCTTCCTCCGCCCGCTGGCTGCGAGCTTCGCCCACGCCTGGCGTTGGCTCGGCGACCCGCGCTGCGGAGGCCGCTTCAGCGTCAACATCGTCGAGGACCTGCTGATGTGCCTCGCGCTGTCGGGCCCTTGCGTGGCTGACATGCGGCTCGAGGTCGACCGCCTGGTGACGGCGTCGGGCGCTTCGGAGGCTGTGGGCGGCGTGGTCTACAGTGCGGCGCTCGCTGGCCGC